TACAGCGGAAGGCAGCAATTGCTGGAGCAGGTGGAAAGCCAGTGTCCCACAAATAGGGACAGGGTTTAGCAAGGCGGCACATACTGAAATAATCAAGAATTAAGCCAGAATCTAACACTCACAAAAGCCATCGCCATCTCCAGCAACACCGCTACCCCTAACCGAGGCGGGGATCAGCCCTGGGCACCGAGTCACCAATGTCAGCTGCTGCCACCGCGGGGCATCCCCAGCCCCGTCCCACCACCCCACCCCTGCCAGCCCTGCAGCCAGCATGGCTCCACGTGGCTGCTGGAGAAAAGCCTTCCCGTCTGAAAGCTGGCAAGGGCCGGGAGCTGGGTTGTTGGGAAAGCGGCTTTTGAGTGACTGCTTGGAGTGCCTTGCTCACAGTTTCCCCCCCTTTACACACCAGCAATTTGGAAGTGAAGTGTGGGCCCCCACCATGATGGCAGAGAAAACTCGGTGAGTTCCGGCACGGGAGCACCCCCTAAAAGCCTGAGGAACCTGTTAGTGCTGCAGACTCCTGCCGCTGTGCCCGTATGTCTGCTGATTTCCATACTAAAGACATTTACTGTATATGTTTGCCACCAGGGAAAACTACTGTCTACGACTCAGCTATATTACTGGAAGAGCAGCAGCCGTATTTGTGCTATTGTGAATACTGCATTTCCAGGACCTGCTCTATGGCTTTTGAAATCCTCCTTCCAACTCCCCACATCCCCCCCGGCCAATTAGTGAAAATGTCTGGTTGGGATGACGGCCCCCTCCTCCACGTGGCAACTCCACGCCGTGAGACTCGCGCAAAGCGGCGTGAGCCATCCCTGCTTGGCATCGGGAAGCACACTTTGCAAGCCAATGACAGAGGGATGAAATGCAAATATAGCATTTCTTGTAAAGTAAATTAAGCTAACAACGAGGTAACAAACTGCTGTTAATATTAAATTAACTTGTTTGGCAAGATATGAAATTGGGTGAGCTGGATTGTTGATAGCGGAGTGCTCAATAGCGCTAATGCTGCTCAGGGAAGTATAACATCCCTCTGAAAGACAGAGGCACGCACCAAAAAAAAAAATAAATTAAGACTGGAGGAAGAGCCAGAATCTGTGCAGCAATTACACCAGCATTAAAGATGAATGGAGGAGAAGCTCAAGATTTTGATTGCCTTTAAATACTCGGCTTGTTTTTAATCTCAAAATCAAACTGTACTGTGATCAGCCATTAGACCCGACTACAAAAAAAAAAAAAAAAAAAAAAAAAAAAAAAAAAAAAATCCTAGATTTTAACATTTGTAGTATGAACTTAAAATACCACTTTGATCTAAGATAAGGAGGCAAATGGCTGATAATTCAGAAGTTAAAGCCAGCTGGGTGCGGCTGGCAGCTGGCAGCGGCTGGCCCGACTTTGGTAACGATGGACACTTGGGCAGAGGGGTCACCAGCAGCCGTGTCCTCAATGTGGGGACTGAGGCACAAGCTTAAATGTCATACGATATGCCAGTGGTCACTAAATTGATTAAGCAGTGGTTATCTTTAGCAGTAAAAAGGCTATCTGCTAATACTAAATGATTAGAGTCTAAAATGCCATTTACTCTGCTCTGATTCTTTGAATGAATATTTATGCCAAGTGATGACTATAACACCATCAAAAGGTTTCCGTGCTCTGCTCCGTAGAGTGGAAGTGATTATTCAACAGCAGGTCTGCACTCCAGCACTTGTTTCTATTAAGCAAATTTGCAGTGTTCAGACAAAAATTCATGATTGCATTGTCCTCCTGGGATTTTTATTTTTAAAGACATCCCACTTCCAACGCTCTCCAGCTCATGGGCTGTGGCAGGTGGGCCTTGTCCACTGCACAGACACAGAAAAGAGGGCTACAGATGCTGCACAATTTCTGCCTTGTAATTTTTTTTAAAGTATAAGACAACTAGGCATTTACCACACCCCATTCAAAAGCAAGAAGCTGTGGCCTGTCCCAGACTTTCCTCCCACCCACCCAGCCACCAGCCAGGGCCTTTTGCATGAAACAGCATCGTGAAATTCCTCATTAGGTGTGGGGAATTGGACCCATAGCCCTGGTGACGAATCAAGAGGGATGCTCACCAGAAATGAAGCCCCTGCACCCCAGCGGGGAGGCACTGCCTGCGTTTCACAGCAAGGGCAAGTGCAGGGAGGCACGTGAGTCATGGCCCTGCGTGTACCTAACCCCCCTGCCTTCCCTGGGCAGAAGGGCGTTTTGGCAAGGTGCGAGCCTGCCTGTGCTGCTGTAGCAGTAGTGAGGGATGGCTCTGGACTGGCCCACATCAGGGCCCACCGAGCAAACCAAATTGATGCTGGCATCCAAGCAGCATGCTGCTGGACCTTGTGTTTAGTGTGCACGACTGGAAGGGAAGTCAATCCTTTGCCATATGGGCTGGTACTGCCTAGGCCTCCCCCTGTGCTCCAGCTGGGGTGTGCAGGGCTTGGTTCCCACCTTGCCCTGGAGGCGGGGGTGCTCTTCATTGGGGTTCAGTCTCTCATAATACACCACCCTGATGTTTACCTCCCCAGGAGGAGAGACCCATGTTGTTCTGGTAACATCCCCTGTGACTGCTGGACCTCTGTGTGCTCCCTGCTCTCTGCTAACTGTGTTTCATGCTTGGCTCAGGCTTCCCCTACACCACATCACTGTGCTGCCGGTACCAGACGGCAGCCACCAAGACTAGACCTTACCATAGCTGTTTCAACTTACTGGTTATTTTGTCCCATTTACCAGTCCATCTTCCATCACTCATTTTTTTCTCCCAAGTTCCCTGGCTATCTTCTGCTCCATCATTCTGCTGGGTTTGCTGACTCAGCCTGTTGCATTGCCACACATCAAAAAAACCCCACCAAACCATCCCTATCCACAGATGCATCCAAACGGGCCCAGCTCAGATACACCTCCCCTGCAGAGCCAGCATGAAGACTCACGTATGCAGCAACATGTGTCTCACACCAACCAAGTTCTGGTTTTATTCATCCAATGGTAGAGTGGGATTTCCCACATAAGTGACCCTCTCCTCTAGCATGCTCCTGCCTCTGGAGTGACATTTCTGCAGCTTTTCCAGATGTATGAGAGATGTGGCAGCTGCAGGGGCATTAGCTGGCATTAGCCAAGCAGCTCTGAAAAGTTACACTTTCCTCCTTCCTTCCTTCTGAAGTAAGGAGACACCTAAGCCAAGGAAAAAAAAAAAGCTTTCTAGAAGATTTAAATACCATTCTCCAAAGGGCTTCATTTTTAAACTCTCCTTAAGAATCTGAACTAAATCTGAAAAACCTCCCAGCTTGTTTGCTGAGGGGTTTTGGTTTTGTTTTGGTTTGACTGCTCCCATCCTCACTACGGGACAACACCCGTGCGCTTCTATTGTGTGTTGAATTACAGCAAACCCCATGGGCAGGCGGGTAGGCATCACTCTGGAGCACAGGCAGAGGCAGTGACTGGCTGGCAGCCCATTTCAAAGCAAGGAATCAAAACCTTTGGGCAACAAGCTGCTCCTTCTCTTGGTTTATGGGTGTACTTGGTAGAGTAGGGTTGACGGTTGGACTTGATCTCAAAGGATTTTTCCAACCTGAATGGTTCTATGATTCCTTCGGTAGCCCCAGTGCGGCCACCTGCAATAGCCTCCACAAAAAGCGCACCAACTCTACAGTTTCTCAAAAGACAACCCCAAAAGGCACTAAAATGGAATACCAATTAAAACACCACCTAGCCATAATAGGTGGCTATAGGTGGCTTTTTAATTACTGCTCCATCTTTAGGGAATAAAAGGGGACAAGGCCACACATTTTATAATAGGACTCCTAACATAAAACATCTGTTTATGAAGAAAAATCACTCAATTGATCCACAAGTCTGACGTAGCATCAGATGACACGTAACATTTTGAAGCATACTGGTGTCTAGTGGGGTTTTGCTTCTGTTTAGCCATTACTCAACACAGATGTACACAAAAATGTTTCATATAACAGGCAGAGCAGGACCAAGCTGCACTGCGTTTGGCGTTTGCAATTCAGAGAACACACACACAACCCAGGACTTGTAATTGATTAAGTCCCATGTGAAAAAAAGTACTCGGTGTCTATTATTAGAGGAAATGGGGGTAAATCAAGAAAAAGCAAGAAGACAAAATAAATAGAATTGCAGACATCCTTTACAGCTATGGGTGCGCTGTATTAAAGTGACACTCACCGTACAAAGAAACGTGTTTGGTACAATCCAGTGGGTTGCACATGAATTGCATAACCTTGAAAATCACTGCACAAAGCATCACAGCGGGAACACAGTTCAGAGCTTTTCTACAGGAGACGCTTCAATTCTGATTGCTTTCGTTATGTGGGAGGTCAAAGCACCTGGCAAAGAGTAAGCAAAACGGGCTGCAAAAAGGGATGCTGCGTCAGCGCCCGGTCACGTTCAAACCCTGACATCACCTCTCGCAGATGCTCAGACCTGGACAAGTGATGCTCCACAGGAAAACCTCACTGCCTATCAAAGCCTTGAAATTAATACTCTGATCAATGCCTGGGCACGTGTTGGCAGGGCTGGAGGGAGCCTGTTCCTCGCAGCCCAGACTGGAGACACCGCCTCAGCCAGCCAACAAGCACTCCTGGCCATGGAAGTGCTCTGCCCAGATTCATAGAGGTGAAAAGCAAGACACCTCTCAGCCAGCCGCTCCAGCACTGCACGGCAGCCGTGGAGGGACCCAGCCAGCAGCACGGATGGCTCCCAGCCACCACCCGCCCACAGCTCACTCCTGCCCGTCGTACCGCCCAGCAGGGTTTTGGACACAAGTCTCTGCAGGGTTCAAGGGGAGAGGTCTAACTCTGCAGCAGCATTTCTTCACCCAGTTTGTGTGTGTGAAATCCTGCCTCTGTTTCTATTCATGCCGTTTCCAGAGATCTGTATATGTATTTCTAATAGCCTGTTCAACATCAGGCACAGGAAACCCAGGCTTTCACCGCATAGGGAACAAACCACAGCTAAGATGACCAGGAAACATTCATAATTTTTAATTCACACCAGTAATAAAATTGCATTACATTTTTCATAAAATAAATGTTCCAGTTTATATACAGAAAACAGACTGTACAGAGCCCTCCCCCAGACCCCAAAAACTCACAAACATACAGGCAATGCAGTGCTCAGCTAAGCAGGCACAACTGTACATCTAAAATTGTAACTGCTTTGTGTTGGGGGGGAAAAGTACTACAATGTATATAGTCCTCTCTGGACCAAGAATTAAAAAAATATTGCAGGCAAGCTGACAGGCACCCTCGCTGCTCACGCGGCCGAGCACCCATCCCACAGTGCTTCAGCGAAGCAGGGTTTGTTATTGAACCTGGGACTCGAAGCTCCCATTCAGCTGCCCTTCCTCATAGTCCATCTGGCACAAGATCATGTTGTTCTTCAGGAAAAATTTGTCTCCCACACAGAATCTGGAAGATAAAAAGAATTAGCGGTGTTATTACGAACAGGGGTTAGAACAGGGGGAATTTGAGTTTATTTGGGTCTGAAGGCAACTCTGGGGACCAGGGTTTGATTTCCAGCTCTGCTGGTGTCATTGGACTCTGGGAAAGACCACGTGCTTCTCCCCCACTTCCCTTCCCCACACACGCCCTGGGGTTTTTCCTTCCATTTTCCCAGCACGGCGGTGCTCAGCTCCCAGGCGATGGTTGTACGAAGCAGCTCGGGGAGCAGGTCCCAGGCTCTGCCAGCTCCCGTACCTCCAGGAGGAGGCCAGGAGCAGCGAAGGGATTTGTCCCTGCAGCAGACAAGACGTGTCAGCTCTACAACCGGGAAATCAAACGGGCGATATTACACAGAGACTATTTGAAGTTTTTGCTGGTATCCACATCTCCACAGTTCCCTCGGGTGAGGCAGTATTTACACTAATTTCCAGGCAAGGACTGGCTATTAAGTCCTTCCTCACCCCCTTGTGTACAGTGCTGAACAATAAATAGAAATTTCCTGGTGGTTGGACTCCTAACCTTTATCTTCATTGAGCGAAGGGCACTGCTCTCTATATACCATGTAAATTGTTCTGTTTGTCTTGAAGTTGACAGAGAGGCTTGTGATATTTAACAATTTTATTTGACCATTAAGGTCAAAAAAAGTTCCACATATAAGATCTGAGAGGTGCGAATAGACAGCCAATAGCTTTTTCACCCTGCCTGCTTGCTCAAGAATCAGAAGCTAATCTTTACTTCTTAAGATAACAAATAATGCTCTTTGCACCCCATTCAGGGGCTGGTTTTTGTCCATCACGCTAGTGGGGCAATGACAGACCAGAGCACAGGGCTGCGCCTCCCTCCCCCAAGCGCCGAGTCTTAAATCAGCACCAGGTCCCTAAAGCAGAGAGACACCCTGGCCACTGCGCCAAAAGGCAGCTCTGAACCAAGATGAACGGGTAAGTACCAGCCCCTCAAGAGGCCGAATATTTACTGGGCTTTGAAGGAAGATCAATGGAGATGACCCCATCCTCAGGAGACTTGGCAGTCTCATGCCCATTTCCTCTGCTCCCAGGCAGAGCTTTGGCAGGGACATTGCCTACCCCTTGTCTAAAATGCTTTCTAGATTTGTAACTCAGGCAGCTTCAGGCAGAGCATCTCCATAAAACCAAATATTTTCTGCTACAAGAACAGGACTGATCATTTTAGGGTCTGACATGGGCAGAAGTTTTCTCCAACTGGACACCTGCAAATAAGCTGATTAATTTGCCAATTTGGTACAAAGAGAACTGGGCATTGGTTCTCACTTTATATGATTTTACTGGAGACCTTCCATCTTCTTCCCTCTGTGGCACATGCTTTAGTCATTCTAAAACTCAACTGGTTTTGAATATTAAAAAGCTACAAATTGATCTCAATTTTAATTGACAGCTTTTATGTTAAAAACTGTACTACACACACTCTCCTTAACACCACCTTCCCCACGAGTAGGTTTACTCACTATAAATAACAGATACAGCTGCTTGCTTTTCGCTTACCTTAAATACAATATAGATCTCCAGGAAGAGAAATACAAGAATTACCCTTGTCACCAGCATCAACAGCTGTCTCTTGCCAAACCTAGTTTCGGTCTAGGGGAGCCAAAGGAAGAGTTGGAGAACTAGGGAGCTGGTTGTGTATGTGTGTGTATGAGCACATGGGAACCAAAACGTACAGCAGTGGTACCCTGAGACCCTGTGAAGTTTTGGGAGAAGGGCTTGATTCACTGGAAAGGTGACTATTTCTTTCTACCTGCCAGTGCTGCAAACCCAGCAGGAAACTGGGATCTCTTCAGCTGAGAGTTGCATCACAGCTAGAGACAGAGGATTTAACAGGGCAATTTCAGGCCCAGTTTCACGTGTCCCAGCCTGCAGCTCTCTGAACAGCAAGACGTGTGACTGTACCTCCAGCCCCCATGCTCAGAGCAGGTCTGTTGCAGAGTCCCGCCGGCTGATAGAGTTCCAGGCAGCAGCAGCAAAAAACAAGCACTGAACCTACCCTGCCATCTCTACAGGGTGATTTTCTTCTGAGCAAAACCACATTTTAGATATAGGCAGCACAAGCAGCTGGATTTCCTGAAACCCTTGTAATACAGACCTACTGGCCAACTACAGCAGTCACCAACTTTTATTCAGTATTGTGACAGGCAATGCTGACCTTGTAACAGTTTAAAGCACAGTAGGCTGAGTAGCATTGCAGGACTTGCTGCAAACCTGATGTTTTGGAGAATGAAGCTAATGAAAACACTGCACACTCGGTAAAAATATTAGAGATTTTGCTCTGATGGATTTAACACTCTGCACAGAGTCTAGCTATAGAAGGGCAAGTAAGCTGGAAGAGAACTAGAGAAAGGTCTTCAAAATCAAATCTTTTCATAGCTGAAGAATGAGGTGGGGTTTCAGGTGGAGCTTCTGATTCGGGACTAATTTTGGCATCCATCTCTGCAATTTTGCCTTAAACTCACTCTTCTCGGTTCAGCTTCCAGTGTCATCTGCTACAGAAGCACTTTCATTCGGCCCTTTTGGGCCAAAATCTCTAGAGGATAAGTCATAAAAGTTTGTAGCCTTCTGACCTCAGCCAAAAATAACAAGCTACACATAGCTCTGTTCTGTCTGCTCAGTCCATCTTTCAGAAAAACCTCAGCTCCCCCCAAACTGGGCAAATCCTTTGTGCATCAAAGCATGACTCTGCCAGAACAGGGGGATTACCTGCGCTTTGCTGCCAGGCAGTGACAGTGCATGGAGGTTATTTTAAGGGCAGAGTAAGACTGCACTTTGCACTGCGTGCAGTAACAGTGTTAGCAATTGCAGAGGGAAGAGAGAGGTGCTTTGTAGCCTTTGTAATAAAGGATTAAATTTAAAAAAGAATTCCCAAAAATGAAAACTAGGCGGTACTAGGTACTACTTTTCCATGAGAAAAACTAGGGTAAAGTAGGAGTTTGGTGACAAATACTCATCCTACAGACTCCAAGGCCAACCCAGCACTCCTGCCTGCGCAGCCCAGAGTCGTGACTTGCTCTGCCAGGAGGGACATTTGAAATGCTCTAGCCCTAGCATGGGCACGGAGTTTGGGAGCACCCCTCTCCTGCCCGGCTTTCATCGGCAGGCTGAAGAAAGCTGAGCCTGAGGGCTGAGCCTGGCAGCACCCTGCAATACTTCCAAGTCTGGAGACAAACCCCACAACCAACCAGCAGTTTCAGCTGTGTGAAGAGAGACCGTGTCGGGGAGGGAACGTATTAGCTCTTCAAGCAGTCATACGCTGCTGATCGGGAATCATAACAAACCAAGACTGGGCAACTGAAAGATATAGTGTGGCTTCTGGAAAGGAGCCCAAGGCCAGGAGCCACTAGATGTCACTGCCGCCTCGGCGCTGCCACCGCGCCTGTGGACGCCGCCAATATTAATAAGTTTTCTACCTCGAACGAACACCGCCTCCACCTTCAATAACGTGATTGAGTCAAGCCACCTGAGCGACAAATGGCTCGCCCGATTCTCCTCTTCCATGCTGTGGCACCAACCAGCCGCAACCTGATTCATCCCCATGAACTAAGCCACCGTCAGAGGGCATGGAAGGAGAATCAGATCCCAGTTTGCACAGTCTCCTAAGTTTAGTGGGAAAGGTGGCAGGGGTTTGTGTCCACACACGCACTGTGTATGGCTACTTCATTGTAGATCCCACTGTGACTTTTGTACTAGGGTGAGCGATGATTGTTTAAGTCAGGTTTTAACTTGGCTTTTATAGAATTAGGTTCTCCATCTTCCACGGGTTTCATCACCTCTGTCACACCTTCACATGGGGTGAAGCATTGGCCTCCTAGGTTCATCTTTGGGAAACACAAAAGTCCAGAACAGGAACCCCAGCACAACCCTTGGGCCCTGGGCAGTCACTACAGCCTGACTAAACAAGCAGTAAGAACAACAAGCACTTTCAGGCCTGTCTTGGACAAGGACGGATGGATGCATCAGAAGACCACCCTGCATCATGCCTGGTTCCGTGGGCTTCCATTCTGCCTACAATGACCAACAAACAGGGTGCTGGGAAGATTTTTCACAGCCCTCGCAAATTCAGCTGGCTACAGGTAGCCCAAGTGAAAACCTCGTGCATGACCCTTTATTATACTCATTGATGTGCATTTTCCCCTGGGTAAAACCCAGCAGAAATGCACAAGCTCCACCCAAAATGACACCATCAAGATGCCCTATTAATTACACAACTAAAGGGATTTGTTCCTAGTGTTGAATGGGCTTATCTAGAGTATTTTTTTCTTTCCTGTCCCTTCTCTTTCTCCTTCTTCTTTGCTATCCCTGGGTTTGAGCCTGTCAGAAACCTGATTTAAGCAAAATAACATTAGTTTGCTTAGAGGAGGTCCATTCTCCATCATCTGTGTTCTGAAAAGAGAGTAGATCCTGAAAGGCCACTGAAGCAGTTTGTTTTATTCAGCAGCAGCTGTGCTGTGTACAACCGTGGCCAGATCTGCAGCCTGTGTGCTCCTCCTTGCCCCTCCAACTCCCACCAGCTCCAAGGGGATTTGCAGTAAAGGGGCTACAGGTACTTACATGCATCATCCAGGTCAGCCTAATAAACCAGCCCAAGCCATGCCAGCAGGCTGTGAGCCCCAGATAGGTAGCGTAGATCAACCATTTCGCCTATTTAGTGGGCAAAGGTATAAATTAGTTTGTGTGTGTGTGTGTGTGTATAATAAGTGTGTCCTCACCGCTGGTTGCAGAGCTGACAGGCAAAGCAGTCCAAATGGTAAACATTATCTCTGGCCCTCATCACCATCTCAAAGGCAGGGATCAGTTTACTGCAGGCAGCACAATTCCCGGTGGTACCAAAGAGCCTGCCAAAGAAGCACAATCATTAGAAGCCATTTTAATTAAATGGTGGAAGGACTAATTAAGTGTAATTAGCAGTATCAAATACTGTATTGCACCAATAAATAGAAGTTGCAGTCTCCATTTCGCTGACCAACCAATGTGTGGGAACCTGGGATAAAACTGCCTGGTGAGCAGGCTCCAGTTGTCGAGATGAAACTTCATTTGGTTTGTGAGCCTAGGGCTAATTTGCTGGCTAATGAAGAAAAGCATTAAACACTTTCAGCACTATTTTGGGGCTCACAAAATTTCAGTCAAAAACTATCTGCCTCTCTGCAGCAGTAGGGTAGGTGCTTAGAGCCACCCATCCTCCTCCACATGTGCTTGCCCCATCTGCACTTGTCCCCAACCTAATGGATAGATAGACTGGAAGCCTCTCGCAGCAAGACACAGAAGACCTGCAAACTTTGCCAACCCTGGCAGGCAACACTATAATATAGCTCAGGAAGGACCTCACTTACCTGCTGTTTAAAACAAAAAAGCACCATTTCTCTTGCAATGAGTACACAAGCATTTTGCAAGGCATCTCAGAGAGCAAGCCTTCCTCCCTGGCTGTGCCCCCTCCTCCCGCTTCCACGTCTCTCCTGGGAGCCAGCTAAGCCCTTTCCACTGTGGCCTGAACAGCATGCTCAGCCGTTCCACTTCAGCTCCCCAGTCCTTGAGGACAGCCCTTCAGCACTGGAAGCTTTGCCATTTTCATCTTGGCTTTCACTATCTGTCTCCCCAGATGTCTGCTGCTGTTACAGCTCCCGCCGGGGGACTCAATCAAGACTGCAGCATCCTTCCCCTGTCCCCCTTCTCCAAGATGTCCCTGCAGACCCCTGTGTGCACCAGGGGCAGCACGCCACTGCGACATTAAAGCCACACGAACCAGCAACAGGACGACAAAACCAAGTTTCACCCGAGACTATGGTCAATACACATGTGGTTAGTTACTTGTTTAGATGCTAAAAATCATATTCTTGGGGCGATGAGCCTCGAGACG